AATATTCTTTTTAAAAAACTCACGCTCAGGTATGGGTTGTAATTGCTATCCCTGCATTTTGAAGCTTTAAAGAAAACCAAGAGAATTTCACTTTGATGAAGTTGTATTCAACAAGAACTTTTACCCAAATTAATTTTTTAATTTACATTTTCATGCATATTTTGGAGTCCCTATTATGTGACAGCATTGATATAGATGCTTTATAAACATAAACTCAATTAGGAATGCTGGGTTTAATTTGTTACATATATGCCTGAGGAGAGGGTAAATAGTATTGTTATGAAGCATCTCATGTCATATCACCCATGGCTTCTGTATAAGCAACATCCAGCCATTCTGATATACTTTATGCATATTCCTTAGAACTTTGTTCATGAAAACTGCCTGGATCCAACTTGAAAAAAATCTCAGGGGAAAAAAAAAAAGCGAGGAGCTATGGCTGTGTGTGCACGCACATGCACACACTTCCTACACAAGAGATCTGAACCTAAGAAGTCCAGTTCCAGAATCTTTCCTCTTAACCACTAAGCTATATGCTCTCATCATTGCAATTGTGAATTGTGCCACTATAAACATTCGAGTGCAGGTGTCTTTTTTACAGAATGTCTTTTGTTCTTTTGAGTAGATGCCCAGTAATGGGATTGCTGGATCAAATGGTAGATCTACTTGTATCTCTTTAAGGTATCTCCATATCACTTTCCACAGAATTTGCACTAGTTTGCAGTCCCACCAGCAGTGTATGAGTGTCTCCTATATGCTAGAAAAAGAAAGTGTGACTTTTAAAATGAAAATAATTGATTTAGGTAGAGTAGCTTCTAGAATAAGAGATCACATTTCTGAAGTCAGTACACTAAGTATCAGCATTAAATTATAAACAGACATTTGAAGAAAATTTACTACAATAAAGATTTTTTCTTTTGTGAATATACTTATCGGAAAGTTTCCAGCTTTTTCATTTTGAGTATTATATCACCTAATATTATTGTTATATCTATAGAGATTTTAAAGCATTTTATAATTTAAGATCTTATTTAATCCTGCCAGCAATACTATAAGGTAGGTGTGACAGTTAATTTCATGTGTCAACTTGGCTAGGCCACAATGTCCAAATAGTTGGCCAAACAGTATTCTAGCTGTTTCTGTGAAGGTGTTTTAGATAAGATTAACATTAAACTTGGTGGACTCTAAGTAAAGCAACTACTCTCCATATGGATCATGAGGGTGGGCCTTATCCATCTAGTGGAAGGCCTTAATAAAACAAAGACTGACCCTCTGCTCAAACAAGGAATTAGGCCAGCAAACTGCATTTAGACACACAATACAATTCTTTCCTGGGCCTCCAGCCTGCTAGCCACCCTGCAGATTTTGGAATTACCAGTGCTCCACAATATCATGAGCTAATTCCTTAAAATCTGTCATTCTCTCTCTCTCTCCCTCCATACACACACACACACACGCACACACACACACACACACACACGCACACACACGGGTTTGAACTGTGTGGGCCCACTTACATGCAGATTTTCTTTTGCCTCCGCCACCCAAGACAGTAAGGCCAATCCCTCCTATTCCTCCTCCTCCTCAGCCTACTCAATGTTAAGATGACGAAGATGAAGACCTTTATGATGATCTACTTCCACTTAATAAATAGTAAATGTATTTTCTCTTCCTTTTGATTTTCTTACCATTTTATTTTCTCTAGCTTACTTTATTGTAAGAATACAGTATAAAATACATACATCATACAAAATAAGTATTTATGTTATCAACAAGGCTTCTGGTCAATAGTAGGCTATTAGTAATAAAGGTTCTGGAAAGTAAAAACTTACACATGGATTTTCTACTTTATGGGGTTCAAGGCCCCTAGCCCCAAGTTGTTCAAGGGTCAACTCTGTGTGTGTGTGTGTGTGTGTGTGTGTGTGTGTGTATGTTTTACCTACACAACCTGTTGGTTTTCTCTGGAGAACCCTAATACAGCAAGGTAGTTGAAAACTAAGACAAAGAAAACAGGGAACAGGAATTCAGAATTCAGACCCATGTCTTTGTCTCCGGTCATTCCTGAAAAGATTATAAAATAAAATTCAAGAAGCTATGTTGCAATTCAGTTTTCTTAGGTTTTTTTGTTGTTGTTTTGTTTTGAGACAGCGTCTTGCTCTGTCACCCTGGCTAGAGTGCAGTGGCGTCATAACAGCTAGCCGCAAAATCAAACTCTGGGCTCAAGTGATCCTCCGGCTTCAGCTTCCCAAGTAGCTGGGAAAATAGAGGCATGCCACCAGATCTGGCTAATTTTCTCTATTTTTAGTAGAGATGGGGGTCTCGCTCTTGCTCAGGCCAGTCTTGAACTCCTGACCTCAAGTAGTCCCCCCACCTCAGCCTCCCAGAGTGCTAGGAATACAGGTTTGAGTGGAATTCAGTTTTCATACTGTAATCACTCAGCCAGTATAATGTTCGTTTTCTTTTAAAACTGTTATTTGACAAAACTAATCAACATTGGGAAACAATTTATGAGATCCTCAAAAAGTAAAGCATAGAGCAATTCTACTCCTAAATATATACCCAAGAGAATTGAAAACATATATCCATACAAAAACTTGTATGCAAATGTTCGTAGCAGCATTATTCATAATAGCCACAAAGTAGAAATAACATAAATGTGCATCTATTGACAAATGGATAAACAAAATGTGGCATAACCATACAATGGAATGATTCAGCATTAAAAGGAACAAAGTATAAAAACATGCTACAACATGGATGAACTCTGAAAACATGCTGAGCAAAAGAAAGCAGATACATAAGGCCACATATTATATAAATCCATTTATATGTTATGCACAGATTAGGCAAATCCATAGAGACAAAAAGTAGAATAGTGGTTTTCAGGGGCTGTGGGAAGAAAGTCAATAGAGAATGAACATTAATGGGTATGGAGTCTCCTACTGGGGTGGTAAAAACGTTCCTGAATTAGGTAGGTGATGGCTGTACAACCTCATGAATATAGCTGCTCCTCAACTTACTGTGGGGTTATATCACGATAAACCCATCATAAGTTGAAAATATCATAAGTCAAAAATGCATTTAATACACCTAACCTAACAAACATAAGTTAGCCTTGCCTACCGTAAAAGTGCTCAAAACACTTACATTACCCTACAGTTGGGCAACATCATCCAACACAAAGCCTATTTTATAATGATGTATGGACTATCTCATGTAATTACTGAATACTGTACTTAAAGTGAAAAACAGATCGGTTGTGTGGGTACTCAAAGTATGGTTTCTTCTGAATGTATATTGCTTTTGCACCATTGTAAAGTTAAAAAACTGTGAGTCAAACCATCATAAGTCGGCAACCATCTATAAATGAAAGGCCACTGAGTTGTACATTTTAAAATGGTGAATATTATGATAGGTGAATTATATCTCAACAAATAGAATGCTAAAAAATAAAAAACTAAGCAACTCACCTGCCCTTTTTGTGGTGCCAAACATCGAACAACTTCATCCACCATTACTGGAATATGTAATTTAGCCATAGCTTCACAATCTCTATCTGGAGAGTTGTGTAACTTCTGAGCTCCAGTTTGATCTGTTTGCTTCTGGGCTTCACATTCATTATATCTTCCTGCTGTAGTATGGGTGTTTTTTGGCCAGACACCTAATTTAAGTATGCCAGATTCAAACCAGCATGAAAGAAATTCTTTATATATTCTATAAAAATGTGGGTATCGAAGCATTCTGTAGGTCAACAAATCTAGAAAAAAAATTTTAAATATGGTGATTGTTGGATTTTTTTAAAAGAAGATTGTAATACTTCGGGGAAAGCAAATTTATATGAAATATTTCACACACCAAAAAAGAATGTTAAGCCTCTAGTATCTAAACATCTTAAAAAAGTGAAGGTGACTAAACTCCTTACACAAAGCAAGGAACCTAAGAGAACCCAGCAACATAATTTAAATATAAATATAAATTTTAAATGTCACCTGATAAGCTGTAAGACCACTAACGTTTTAACCATCAGGGATATAAAAATTGATGATTCAGTCAGCATTTTTCTAAAATACATTTTTTTGAATTTTAATTAGGTCTAAAGAGTGGGTTCAAGGAGTTAAAACTTTATTCGAAAAGCTATCTGGAAGACTGAAGAGATTATAAGTTATTATTCTCTTTTAGGTTCAGATGGTCTTTTATTTCAAGCTCTTCTGTTTTTCTCATAATGCTAAATTCTCATCTTCAATTTTACTTTGTGTGAGAGACTATCTCTGGAAGAAGACTATGTGTGTACATCCAAAAAGAAATGGAGATGATCAGTCTGTGAAAATTGCAGGTTTATCACAGATATTGGCAAGATCATCTCACCACAACCTGCAACAGTGGAGTATATATTAACTTAAACTATAACTTTATAAACACTCAACTGAGCATACTTTGGCATTTCATATCCATCTTTGTTTTAACTGCCTGTCCCCTGTGCCCAAAAAACAATCAAGTAAATAATAGATTCACTCCTTGAATTTCTCATAATTATTACATTTTTTCTGCAAGTTGTAACTCTTTAAAATGCAAAGAAAAAAGTATTTATGCAAATATATTAACAAAAAACCTTTTTAAAACATTATGCTTTTTGGCCAGTTGGTTTCAAAGCAACATTTTTGATACTACCACAGTAAATACCCAGTTATCACTATAATTTCCTCACAGATTATGACTTATTTAAGAATAAGACCCACACTTCTGTCCACAAAATCAGATGCACACTAGGTGCTTAATAAGTGTTTTTTGGAAAAAAATGAATAGATAGATTAATTCCAGACTCCACAAAATTAACATTTTTATCAATACTCACTAGAAAATTTCACCTATCTTACTGACCTCACCAAAAACCACATTCTCAAAATATTTCAAAAAACATAAATCCCACTTAAATACGTCTTTCCTTTCTTTTGCAATAAAAAGTGAACAGTAACATTGAAAAGTTGATCAGATGTAATGACAAAAACAGAAAGAAATATAAATACATGATATATAAATATAACATTCACAAAATGTTACCTTGAGGATAACATACTAACTTTACCAAAAACATACTCCATAGAATTATGTGTCAAATGTGACACAGGAAAAATGTGGCCAAAAAAAAAGGAGAAGAAATGAGAAGTAAATTTGTAGATGTTCAGCAGTAAAAATTAGCCAGATTATTTAATTATGCCTTAAGTTTCCAGAGACCTTATACAAAGAAAACTACCCTCCAACTTTGTGTTTCTAAAGTTTTTCAAAATAATAGCTTACATTTAGTACTACTATTCTAAGCACACTACATGTACTAATTCATTCAATCCTTACCACAACTTTTGGAGGTAGGTATTATTATTCCCATTTTACAGATGAGGAAAACAGAGAAGTAATTTGCCAAAGGTCACACAGCTAGAGAGAGTCATAAAACTAGAATTGTAACACAAGCAGTCTATCCCCATACCCTGAAGTCTTAATACCCACACAATAAACATAGTCCACTGGAACTATTTAATGCACCCATGTAATTCAATGTTACTTTTGAAACATCTCCTAAGTTAAATTTTTTTTTCAGGAACCCAGATCCTCTGGCTTGGCCCTGCTCTACTTAGAAATAGCAGTATGCTGTAGGGTATCCAATAGAGGACATAAAATGTGTAGGCCTAAATATGAAATATTTAAACAACCTACATTATATCTCCATATTTTGATAATTAAAAAAAAAAAGCAGCATCGATTCCAATATAGGAATGAGAACCACACGGGGAAAAGTAGAACAGATAGAAAGAACTCTGTCAATAGCATTTAATTTTTTTTTTCCGCACTTAATTTCTATGGATTTATTCAACTATGGTCAGGGTATAAGGACTGAAGATTTTATTATGAACTAATTGGCTACTAATTGGGGTCAACATGGAGAAAGGGCCACAAATAATTCATTTTTTTCGTGGGGGTTTCCTGGAATACTTCCCCCAAAATGGAAGGGGACAAGCTCTAAAGGGAGTTTCCTCCTCCTTCTCTGCAGCCCAATCTCCTACGATACAACCCAGAGCCCTCCTGTAGTTTTTTGGAGCCAGCTACCCTAAATGATTTAAGATTGTTTAAATTTCCTCTGGTCATAGGAAGGAAGCCGGGAGTCAGAAAAACTGAGTACACAGTGTCCTAGGTAAGTCATTTAACTTTACCAGCAAAATTCAGTTTAAGCTGTTGAGACCACAAAATTGCCCAGATTAATCTTTAAATTGTAGGAACATAAAGGTGAGTGACGCCTATGAAGACTACTTCCTCAAGGGTCCTAGCAATTAGCATCAATGCAGTTTTTCCTTGCATGGAAAATTCTCTTTCAAAACATAATTCTTAAGAAGGAAAACACAACCTGGATGGAGACTGGCACCCGAATTCAGAGAAAGTGAAAGAGGTTCTAAGAAAAAGGAAAAATACACCCTTTTGCCTAAGAATTACACTCTGACGAGGGAAAACTATTTAAAAACTTCTAAACCCAGCTTGAAGGCGTGTTGTGGAGAGAGAGCGGGAGCAGGATCGTGTACTTCCTTAGACTCGGGCGAATTCCGGCGACCCCTGGGAGTACCCCCAAAGGCGTGGTGTTTTCCAAAAGAGCTCCCGGGACTCGGTCACCTTCTCCTCACCTGAGGCACGACGATTTCTCAGTTGGCCTCTAACTTGGGCCAGCGACGAAAACTATGGTGCTGGAAGACCTGAATTTCCCCAGCCCTGGGGAAAACTTGCAAGGACGGACAGATTGAACCCACATCCGCCCCAGCAACCGAGGACCGCTTGCCTTTAGTTCCGCTGCTTCCAGCCCCCGCTACCAAAGGGTCTTGCTGGTGCTGGAGTCTCCAAACGACGTTCCTGGGGGAAATAAATAAGACTTCACCAGTGCCATGTTTAAATTCACTTTTCCAAAAAGAGATAAATTTAAAAAAACACAAAAAAGTAAAATAATACAAAATAAAAAAATAAATTCACTTTCCTTTTTTTAAAAAATGTGTGAGGCAACTTTAAATCCAACTTTCCATTTATCGTTCTCTCTTTAGTTTACTATGAACGTAAATTAAATTTGTTCTACTAACGCGACATAGTTAGTCTCCAATTTCTAACAAGAGGTGGGAATTTCTGTCTCCTTAGCTCTATATGTTTAGAAAGTTTTGATTCTTTTTTTCTTCATTTCGTTACAAAATACACCATTCTCTTAGCCTGTCTGTTGTACTTCCTTAATATCTTGACAAACTACAGTAGCCAGCTGGCACAGTAATAGCATTGATCGTAATTTCAAATATCTCTGCTTTCACCAAATGTACAATTCCTTAAGAATACAGGCCTCATCATCTGAACACTGCCAAATGGCAAGTGTAATGCCAAATTTGAAATTAAAAGAAAAGTACTTGGATTAGGTGTGGAAACATCTGAGACTGATAAGCCTTATACAATGTGGGTGTTTTAAAAAACACAAAATTTAAAACACTTCTATTTACTTATTGACCAATGATCAATGCAATTTTACAAGAAATTGGCAAGATATGCGTATTTTCAGACTACGTTAATCTAGAAAGTATTTCATAGACAACTCAATTCTGAATTGGCCTGTTTATACAGTTCAAGACAAATATTTTCCATTAGGGATTTTCTGAAAACTTCAGTTTTCTCTCAGTAAAATGAAGATAACAGTACCTACATTTCATGGGCTGTTTTGAGAATTAAATGAGATAACATATGTAAAGTCATAAATAAAATGTCTGGGACATCAAAAGTAAACATTAATAACTATATACAAGTACATATTTGAAATAAAATGTCTTCTCTATTTTATTACCAAGCCCAGCACCAAACAAATAACCATTTTATTAACTAAGTTTCATGTAATACAGCCAGAAATAAGTAGTTGCTTTATTGATGCTCTAACTAGTGTTTAAAAACTATAACATGCATAATACACAATATACAATACTCCCAATTTTCTTCACTAGGAAAGACATGTCCATAATATGGGGGTTTTCCATACATTGTTTCTTTTTTAATATTCTGTATTGGTTTTGTGCCATCCTATTTATAAAATGATCTCGAATTACCAGAATATAAATTCCAAGAGGGCAGGGATTTTGACTCTATTGTGTACAGTGTGTCTCTAAAATTTACAATCAATAATTACTGAGTGAAAGGATACAATAATATTAATAGTAATATAAAGAACAACAATGAAATTCAGAACATACTATTAAAAATATCCTGCCAAGTAAAGATGAGGCTGAGTGGTGGCTCATGCCTGTAATCCCAGCACTTTGGGAGGCCAAGGCAGGAGGATCATTTGAGGCCAGCAGTTTGAGACCAGCCTGAATGAGAACATGTCTGAACAAAAAGAAAATAGAAAAATCAGCTGCGCCGGTGGTGTGAGCCTATAGTCCTAGCTACTGGGGAGGCTAAGGCAGGAAGATCATTTGAGCCCAGGAGTTTGAGGTTGCAGTGAGCTATGATGATGGCACTGCACTCTAGCCCTAGGTGACAGAGCAAGACCCTGTTTCCAAAAAAAAAAAAAAAAGGAAGAAAGATGAGTTGTTTTAGCAAACATATTTCCCATTTGTTCCAGGTATTTTCTCTCTTTTTAAAGTGTACATTTGGAAATAATATTCACAACCTGGGACTTAAGAAAAAAAACAAAAAAACACTCATCCAATAACAAACTAGGCCAAAATCTTTAAATGAATTTATTAGGTAATGCCATTATTAGAGAATCTAAAAAGCAGCTAAACACCAAACAGTTTTACAGTCAGCACTAACGGGAGTAGGCCTGGGCCCTCAAACCAAAAGACCTGGACTTCCAATTAATTCAGATAAAGAGATCTCACAGTTCAGCCCAAGTAAATATGGCTGGAAGAAACAAGTCCCTACAACTTCCTCGGAGGTCTCACTACTCAGAGAAAAGTAGAAAATAAAACACCCAGAATCCATTAATCCACATCCAACAGGCTCCGCCTCTGCCCCCTAGCAGAGAGCATAGGCCAAACCCAGCCTGCAACAGCCTCACTCACACCCAAAACCCGTGGACCGGGCTCTGCACCTGCCAGCCTGGAGGCCGCATGACCATCCCAGGTGGCTGCACCCCACCTGAAGCTCCGTCCTAACCCCGCCCACCTCGGCCACCGCCTCCGGAAACGGCCGCGCGCGTTGCCACGGCGACGCCCAGACAAGGTTGCTTCCACTGCGCCGCGCGGCTGAGGCTCTTGGCGCCAAGCCGCAGCGCGCCGTGGCACCGTCCGACGTGATGACGACACGAGCGCGACAGCCAATGAAACGAGGTACTGAGGAAACTGGCTTGGGTTTGAATGTAGTGGTTGATTTTGAAGAGCCTGGAGGCGGACATTGAAGTGAAGTGGTCCCGGTAACCTCTCCTGGGCCAGAGGTGAGTGAGAGTCACGCGAAAATAAACCCCTGGTCTCTGGGACGCTCTTTTTGATGACCTGTCTCTTTGGAAACGGAAGGTCCTGCTGTTCAGGTCTGGAGGACCAGGCGGGCTTGTTGACAAACACAGATGCGTTGAGTTGGGGTGGTCCGCGTCCCTGGGGAGAAAGTGAAAGAAAGGAGGGATTCGAGAACCCGCTAAGGGCACAGCTCTGCCTGAGCTTAGCTCCCGACTGCTCAGCTGGAAGGGCAGGGATCTACTGCCTTAAATTCTTAGAGGAAGTCGGAAGTGTTAAAGGGTATCTTGGCCCCTTTCCCAGACTTTGGCACAGGACTGTAACTGTCCGGCACATTGCAGTGGGAACTTTGTTCAGGACTCCAATTTCGGAATGTTTTATTTCAGATGCACAAGTGAGCGTACCTCTGGGCTTATCTATCAGATGAAGAGCTTTCGTTCATCAATACATAAAGTTTTTGTCCGGTGAGGCTCTACTGTTAGGCTTACTTTGGTCAATGGGGAACCCGCCCGGAGCCCCGGTTACAGCATCAAGCAAGACAAGACCTTCCTTGATTTCCTAACGGGATTGCTGAGAATTAGGTGAGGTGCGGAAGAGATACTACTTGGCAAAGTGCTCTACAAATGAAAGAAACTGGAAACGCTGAATATCATCCCTTCTACAGCCTGTTCTTGGCTTCTGCAAGACTTTTTTTAGGAGCTCATTAGCTGCTTAGTTACAGAGAGGCCAATGCTGACTGCTGTTTACTGTATGAGAAGGGATTATTTGACCAGAACTGGCCAATTTTTTTGTGTGTAATATACAGTTTAAGGTCACTATGGATTGGGTAGAATGTTAAGCACTCTACAGGTCATTGTTAGTGTCATTTCACCACATCCAGCCCCCTCCCTTGGGTTTTGGGAGGTTTTTTGTGAACTTTTGTGCTGGAGAATATGAGGTCCAAAGACTAGGTAAATGCTTGTTATCACGCTTGTATTACTTTCTAAGGACTATTTCAGTAAACAAAGATTATCTGCCATTAACAGTAGTAATTAATTTCCTCTTATGTTATTGAAGAGTATTTACACATTCACAAAATTTTCACTTTGAAAGTGCATCTTCTCCCACTAGATATATATCCCGACTCAATTAGGACACAATAAAATTACTTTTATGCTCTTGACTGTATGAAAACTTGGAGGAAAAAATAGCTCAGCTGTCAGTGGTGCCATTCCCTCCATTTGAACTTTTCATTCTTCCCTGATGCTTATAAGTTAGTGGAAGCAATGGCTTTAAGACTAAGGTTATTCCAAAGAGAGGTTTAAATTAATTAGAGACTATAAATGATAATATCGACCATCAGTCATCCTAAAAAATGTTTGTTGAATCTAATTCAGATATGAGGTTGTATTTAAGAAGTAATTCACAACCGTAACTACTTCTGTACCACTGTTTGGCAGCCTTCTCATCCAGTTCCATTAGAGCCCAGTTTGGACTTTGGCTTTGGACCTGGATCCACATTTGGCTTCCTACTTGCTAGCTATTTCATCTTGGAAAAAATACTTATTTTAAGACTAACTTCCCACTTTTGTAAAATGGAGACAATAATAGAACCTGTATCTTATGTGATTATTATAAAAATTGAATGAGATGATGAATGTTAAATGTTTACCATAATGCCTGGCACAGAAAGTATACTCAAATAATAATCATCGTTGTACATTATTACTGGTTAGTTATCACCATATCAACCTAATCCAAGCATTTTTAAAGCGTATTTGCTGAGAATGGCTACTGTGTGATATCTGACAACCACAAGGAATTCATAATCAGAGTCCATGCTCTCCCAGCACTTACATTGTAGAAAGAAAACAAGCAATAAAAATGTAACCAAATAATATATATTTTCTGGGTCCAGGGCAAAAAAAAAAAAAATAAGATAATATATATTTTCTAATTAATGCTAAATTCTAAGAAAAATAACCCGAGTAAGGGATTGGAGAGGCAAAGACAAGATGGCACTATTTTGATAGATTCTTTGGGAAAAAACTATATGAAGTGGCTTTATCTAGAATGAGCAATAGCTACATATGTTATGAGTTAAAGATTTGTCTGTTCAACTTGGTTTATATTACCATGCAACTATTGAAGAGAATTAAGTTTCAATACTTCTTCATTCAGTATTGCAGAGGAATGAGCTATTCTACATAAATGATTCTCCCAGAAATCGAATATTAGCCTCGTTAAGTAAGTAATAAAGTATCTTAACCACACTCTATGATGAAAATAAAACATGATCTT